ACAGTGTCATCAAGTGTGGTTATTCTGTCAATATTTGGACATTTTGAGCAAATCGTAATCTGCCAATTGATCACCGTCTTAGACACAGGATGCCTTCAGATATTTCCCTGATAAGCCAAGAAAATGTCTTGAGATTCTTATAAGTGCTGTACTGTCGGAATATGATTACTCAGCATTATCATCACAAGGACTGAAAAAACATTCCTGTATCTGAAATATCCAACATATTCTCTTCCATGCTACTCAAAAATTGTTTTGCTTTCACTGTAAAACCATCCCAATACAGGCCTTTAAATATCAACAGGTCAACACGATGTGGAATTGTGGCAATAAAACAAACACTCCTTCCTCATAAAGACAGTTTAAAGTCTTCACTCAGGTGGCTCCTGAAAAATTCCTCTCTTTTTTTTCCTTCTTCTAATCCACTCTTACACGCATTGATTGTCTTGATGTGTCGAAACTGTATGAAAGCCCTGAGGGAGTGTGTGTCATCCAGGAGCCACAGTCCTCTCAGACTTCTGAGGGCTGAGAAACAGGATGCTCTCAGATTGACTGTAATGGAACGCGATCTGTGGGCTCCCGTTTCATTTCAAGCTACACATGAAACAAAGGCATCCTCAAAGAAAGACAAACAGCTGAATACAGGAAAAAATGCCAGCCTACACTTGACTGTATGTCTGCCTCCTATTAAAATAAATCTCATTAATCTCTGTTAATTTTCTTTTGTTTAAAAAAATATTATTATTCTTTTTGCTCTGTTTGAGGCAACAACGGTTAGACTTAAGGTGAAAACCTAGGAATGATTTAATGACATACTCAGGATTGTGGGGAACTAAATGTGATCAACTGCTGAAAAACATGTAGAGGTTGGTAATTGATATGAATATTGCATAAGTTAATAGAATAATAAGCCTTTATTATACAGTATCAACAAGACAATCAGATTAGTTTTTGAGCAAATTCATCTATGCACGATATTACACAATATTATTTTTTATGTAAAATAAATCAATATTCCTATCAAATTAGGGAAAACACCAAATCCCAATGTTAATAGTGCGACATCACTTTAAAAACTCAACAATAGTTAAGTCCTGAGGTGAAAACTTATTTTAAATTATTATTTGAATTATTTAAGCACATATTCAGCAATGTGTGAAACTAAATTTAATAATTCAAGAATCAACCGATGAAAAACTTGTAGCAGTTGATCCCTATCATGAATATTGCACAAGTTAATATAATAATTAGTCTGTATTTAACAGTATGAACAAGACAAAAAGTGTGATATATAGGCTAGAGGAATCAACAATCCCACCAAAAAAGGGTAAAACAGACCAAATCACAATGTCAACTGTGCAAAGTCCCTGTAAAAACTGCAAAAAAAGTTAATTGAAAAAAAATTTAAACTGAGTAATAAACTAAACCTTCTCCTTACTACACAATATTATTTTTTATGTAAAATAAATCAATATTCCTATCAAATTAGGGAAAACACCAAATCCCACTTATTTTAAGAATTATTATTTGAATTATTTAAGCACATATTCAGCAATGTGTGAAACTAAATTTAATAATTCAAGAATCAACCGATGAAAAACTTGTAGCAGTTGATCCCTATCATGAATATTGCACAAGTTAATATAATAATTAGTCTGTATTTAACAGTATGAACAAGACAAAAAGTGTGATATATAGGCTAGAGGAATCAACAATCCCACCAAAAAAGGGTAAAACAGACCAAATCACAATGTCAACTGTGCAAAGTCCCTGTAAAAACTGCAAAAAAAGTTAATTGAAAAAAAATTTAAACTGAGTAATAAACTAAACCTTCTCCTTAAATATTATGTGTGGATGATATAAAAAGACCTGTACAAATGAGAATAATCTTTACATAAAAATTAAATAAAATGGGAAAATTACTTTCAGTTTGGGATCATTGAGAAAAATCTATTAGTGAAAACTGAAAAGAGTGAAATAGTTAGGTTTGGTTGCAGTTTGTCTATCCCCAGTGTTTATGATGTAACCCTCCCTTCATCACGGAGTAACAGACCTCCCATAATCTGCCGGATTTCACACACTCCTGTACAGCCAGTGCTTTGCAGCCAGCCATCCATGCTGCTCTGCTAAACTGCTTGATTTACAAGTGCCCAAGGGGCAGTTTTGAAGACTAAAGCATGCATTATTAATGGATGTGTAGTGTTGACATCATGCCAGAATCCATACAACACTTTCCTGCTTATGGAGCAATTCCAATACTATGAAAATATACTGTAAAGGGGACACGTGCATTGCATATATTGATTCTCTAGAGTCGGTCCTGAAATGTTTACTACACACACCCAATCCAAGAGTGCTACAAGTGATGCCCATGCAAAAGTTAAAGGAACAATTCACCCGAAAATGAAAAATCTGCCATCCGTGGTGCGCAGAATGCATTTGTTTTCAATGTGGGTTTTTTTCTTTTTCTTTTTTCCCTGAAGCTGTCATTAACATATCCTTTTGTGTTCCACAGAAAAAAGCCAAAAGACTTTTTAGTTTTGGGTGCACTGTTCCTTTACACCAAAAAAAAAATCACCATGGATGCTCCTAAAACATCTTGAACTCACCCGTTATGGGTCGAAAAAAAAGTGCTTATAGAGAAGAAATTGCTAGTTTAAAATACCCAAAGCTATTTAAATAAACAAACCAGATGCTAACTACAACATTTACATTCCAGTATAGCAGCAGCAGCACTTCAGTGTTGTGCTGTGTGTTCTGATTGGTGGGAATAGACTAAAGCATGCATTATTAATGGATGTGTAGTGTTGATATCATGCCAGAATCCATACAACACTTTCCTGCTTATGGAGTAATTCCAATACTATGAAAATATACTGTAAAGGGGACACGTGCATTGCATATATTGATTCTCTAGAGTCGGTCCTGAAATGTTTACTACACACACCCAATCCAAGAGTGCTACAAGTGATGCCCATGCAAAAGTTAAAGGAACAATTCACCCGAAAATGAAAAATCTGCCATCCGTGGTGCGCAGAATGCATTTGTTTTCAATGTGGGTTTTTTTCTTTTTCTTTTTTCCCTGAAGCTGTCATTAACATATCCTTTTGTGTTCCACAGAAAAAAGCCAAAAGACTTTTTAGTTTTGGGTGCACTGTTCCTTTACACCAAAAAAAAAATCACCATGGATGCTCCTAAAACATCTTGAACTCACCCGTTATGGGTCGAAAAAAAAGTGCTTATAGAGAAGAAATTGCTAGTTTAAAATACCCAAAGCTATTTAAATAAACAAACCAGATGCTAACTACAACATTTACATTCCAGTATAGCAGCAGCAGCACTTCAGTGTTGTGCTGTGTGTTCTGATTGGTGGGAATCCAGAGCAAAACAAGCCCTCTCTATCCAAAAACACTCTGAGACCAAACATAATCTGAACTGCCTTTACAAGCCAAGACTCTTCCTAATCAAGCGAGCGTTGCAGGATTTTCTAAGGAGCTGGTTTTAGGGGGGATGCTGCTGGCACCTGCTATTAAAACCCACTGCGCACGCTTCTCAAAGCCTGCAACAAAAGGTCTGCTGCTCGCTGATTTTCGGCAGCACAGGTGCCGCTGGTGAGACTGACCTGAATGGTGCAGGTATACTCCGTATCATCCAGCAGCCTGACCGTACACAAGTATTCTCGCTCCAGGTTTCTGACGCTGCCACTCATCAACCGACTCAACATCTTCTCAAAGCGCGATCGCTGCTCTGCGTCCGGGACCAGAACAAAAAGCTCAAGCAATGTCACATCGACCAAACTCTCCGGTCGCCCAGCTGAAACGTGCTAACCGAAGCCGACAGCATCTTTGAGCAGATGTTCGGGTGAGTGTTTTATTTTCTGTTATTGCGAACAGGTTCCTCCAGCACGCATCCAGGTCCAGATTAAGTCGCTGTGGTTACGAGCAGACAGTAGCAGTTGACCATTCACCGCTTGATATTTGAGCAAGGGGGCGGGACCACAGAAGCTGATTGACACTCCTTCGAGCCAATGGTTAAGATCTCCCAATAAGGACGCGTTTGAAATGGACAATGAAAGATCGGGGTGCTGCTGAGTATTTGGAGGTCATTGTTGTCCAATAAGATGCTGGACAAAGGTAGTAGTAAGTTTGTAAGGAATACTCTATACTCCGATTAATTTCCTGGAGCAATATTTTTTTCTTCATTTGGCAGAACGAGTTAGTAGCCTATCAATAACAAAATCAAAGAAGTATCTTACAAAATATTGCATATGTCTGGCTAAACATGTATCGAAAAGATAGATACATGAAAATGAAACATTTAGGCTACTAATGAGTTTAAATATTTATTCAAATTACTTTTAAAATGATTTAGAAAATTATATTGGCATGTTCAGGATTTCTTTATATTTTAATGGCACTTTTGTATTTTTTTGCTCAAATTTCTCATTTTAATAAATGAATCATATTTTCACATAAATGAAAACAAACAAAAAAACACTGAAAATGCACTAATGTAAAAGTAAATGAATATAAAATATAATGTGACTATATAATATTAATGTATTAATGTTACTGTATATATCTTTTGTCTGTGTTTTTCTGGTATTGAATAAAAAAAGGTAATCTTTTTGAATAAACATATCATTTAACATATCTTTTACATGCATATCTTTTTGAATAAACATTTTGCATACATTTAATCTATAATTTTATGCATTTAAGTTTCATGCAACCTTAATTTTAAATTATCTGTAAATGTGATATGACTTAAATTTAAAATGCCTGTAAATATTGTTAAAAAATATTTTATATATATATTTATTTATTTATGGCCTAATCCAAAATACCTCCTGATTTTCCATATTTTCATAAAACAAATCATAGAAATGTAGCTGTATCTTCTAATATTCATTTTTCTATGAATATAGAATATCTTAATATCAATAACTGCATTTGAATATGAAATTTCATCACACAGGAAAACTACAGAAGTAGTACTTTATTAGTTATATAAGAAAATTACACTTAATTTGATTTACAAATAATTTGTATAAATATTTCTACATTTGCATGAGAACATCTTCCTTTTGTTGCTCTCTCTCTCTCTCTCTCTCACACATACACATTTACTGTATCGCAACTGGTAATTAGTAAGCAAAAAGTAAATAATTCATGTAAGAAAAATCCTTTGTTGCATCAAAACAATGCCTTACTGTGTGTGTGTAGAGGGACGCAACATCACATAGTGAATTCATTAGTCATTTTCATCATTCTCCTCTGGTTCATTGCTGCTCGTGGAGGTGGATTTGGCTGAACTCTGTAATCGGTTCTCAGCCTTGCGTGTGTAGGGCTGACCAGGTCGAGGATGGTTCTGATGATGAGGATATCTTATGTTGGACATGTGGTCCACAGTATGGACACGGCTCTCTTGTCTCCTGTCCACTGGCCTCATCTGATTCAGCTTGCAGGAGGCAATGAGAGGCCTGCCTATGTCCAGCTCTTTGCTCTCAGTGAGACGTTCTTTAGTTTGTGTGTGGGTGTAGTGCAGTGTCACTTTGATCACCAGAGATCCCTAGGAAGTTTGAATAAATTTCAATTATTTAATGTCTCTGAACAGTATTTTTGACTTCCAGATATAATGCATTATACTATATCAGTGGTTCTCAACAGCAACAATGATATTCCTGCAATAAAACTTTAAATATATGAATATAATATAATATATAACATAATACAATATAACACAATATAATATCATATCATATCATATCATATATGTTTAGTTTTTCAATGTCCCACCACACCAAATACTTTGTGGTCAACACAAAAACATTGTTTATCCTTGTTCCAACTTATATTTAATGTAGTCTCCTTTTACCTTGCATAGTTTTGTTCTTTTATTTATTTATTTTTATTTCGTTTTTTTATTTTACAAGTTCACAACCCTTTTACTTTTTAGTAAGTTGCATTTTATCAGTTGCATATTACATGCTGTCCAAAACCCTATTATGATTATTATCTGTGACCCATTTTGGGTTCATGATCTACCAGGTGCAAACCAACCGTTTTAAATTGATCATGTGTGTTTCAGTTCTCAATGTTTTAAAATGCATTTCAGTTCTATACCACTATTTTTCTTTCCAAAGACAAAAACTCCTTAAATGTACCTGAAGTCTTTGAAGGCAACATAATCTGAGGGTGCAGTCAGGAGTTTCACCACTGTTCACAAGCAGACTGTCCATTTCTTCTGATCGACCAGAACCTGAGAAAATGTCCTGCATTTGCTAAAAACAAAAACACATCACCACTTAAATTGTAATCGAGCAAGCAGGTACCATAAGGGTATAAATTGAATGTCAAACTGTTAATATACCCAAGGACGTATTACATGTTTTCACCCCTGGAGGTCAGTAGATCCACAGTTTTGTTTTCATCCTACTTTCTTTATGCTGAACTTCCTAAACTTCACATTTGCAGTAGAGCATCACATTTTGTATGTTAAATATTTAATGTGTAATCTATTGTGAAAATAAAAATGTAGCTAAATACATAGTATATCAGAGGAAAAATTTCCTAAAATCTTGCTATATTTTAAACTGACTTGCCAATTCAAAACAAATATATTTGAGCTTTTGAGAGCATTCAGGTTTGCTTGTTTTAATATGAATACACACACCCATTATGGGTTCAAACATTATGGGTCCATAAAATTACTACACTTTACACTTTAGTATCAAAAGTACTAAAAAATAAAAGATAAATAAAAAATAATGACAAAAAGCACATGCAATTACTAAAAACACAAGCTAAAATTAAACTATAAAAAAGCAAATTAAAAATGAATAAATACTATAATATTATACAAATAATCCTGAAATAACACCGGTTATGAATTATGATCAAAATATGCAACCAAAATCTTTTACAACTCGAGAGAGTTGGTGAGCAATGCTTAATACAAAATATAAGACATATTTTGTCTAGAACAGACTCAGGAGTGAAAATGGTTTTGTTTTATTATTTGCTTTAATGTTCAATGCCACTGCATGAACCTCCTCCATAATACATTCATGAGTTTGGGAAACTTTAAGAAGCAAATTCAAGTACAAAACACTATGAAATCAACCCTCTTTCCTTTTCCGTCCTGACTCTTATATCCCCCTAGTGTATGCGTGTGTATGTGGTTAAGTCAGCGAAAGAGGACATGAAAAGCTGTGACTTACTGGTTCACTCTCAAGAATCAGAGTGCAGTCCTGGGCCATAGCGCTTGAGTTCCTCACTGTAGCAAACACAACCAGGACATTGGAGAACAGGGCAGAGAAACTCAGCTCCACCTTAACACCACAGTACTGAAAGTCCAGAGACCTTCGGCAAGGAAGAACTGAGAAAAACACCAATTTACTTAATGGGAAAAAAGGAATTCAACATTGATAATAATAAGAAATGTTAATATATTAAAATATAAAATAGATTATTAATTATTTTAAATTGCAATAATATTTCACAATATTACTATTTTTACTGTATTTTTGATCAAACAAATGCAGCAGCCTTGGTGAGCATAAGGTATTTCTTTCAAAATATTAGAAAATCTTGCCAACCCTATAGTCAATATAGCAATACTGTACAAGCTGGTACATGCAAGCGTGTTTAAAACGTGTCAGAATACATGTTCTGCTCAAATCAACAAAATGGGGCTGTTCTCATATTCAAATGACAGTTGTTAAAGGGGTCATATGATGCGATTTCAAGTTTTCCTTTCTCTTTGGAGTGTTGCAAGCTGTTCGTGAATAGATAAGATCCCTAAAGTTGCAAAGACTAAAGTCTCAAACCCAAAGAGATATTCTTTATAAAAGTTAAGACTCGTCCAC